ATCCCGTAGCTTGTACGAACCTAGATCGTACAAACTGCTTTTCGTATCTCAAATCTTTATAAATGAATAAAGCCTCTCAAAACAACACTCCAAAATGCGATTTGAAAGTTATCAGAGGGCTAAGGATTAGAAAACATCTTTCTCCAAACGAACGTGTCAACTTTGAAACGCGATATTTATTTCCTTGGTCTTAAGGGTCACATCAGAAAATGCAAAGAGCAAGCTGACGTAGCTTAGAAAAAAAAATGAGTGAAGAATTTATAAACAAAAGAAATTTTTCTTTCTGAGATTTTGTGAATGAGCTACGAAGAAGACAAGGGCATGTTTTTTTAGAATTTCAAAATCATTTTATCGATCGACTATATGTGAATTCTTAAACAGCTTTCACTCCATTTGATTTAAAGGGGCCCTTTAAAGAAGTTAAAGAGGCCCTTTAAAGAGGTTAAAGAGGTTAAAGAGGTTAAAGAAGTTAAAGAGGTTAAAGAGGCCCTTTAAAGAGGTTAAAGAGGTTAAAGGGGTTAAAGAAGTTAAAGAGGTTAAAGAGGCCCTTTAAAGAAGGTGAGGCCCTTTAAAGAGGTTAAAGAGGCCCTTTAAAGAGGTGAGGCCCTTTAAAGAGGTTAAAGAGGCCCTTTAAAGAGGTGAGGCCCTTTAAAGAGGTTAAAGAGACCCTTTAAAGGGGTTAAAAGAGGCCCTTTAAAGAGGTTAAAGAGGTTAAAGAGGTTAAAGAAGTTAAAGAGGTTAAAGAGGCCCTTTAAAGAAGTTAAAGAGGTTAAAGAAGTTAAAGAGGTTAAAGAGGTTAAAGAGGTTAAAGAGGAGATTTTGTGAATGAGGAAATGCGGTTGAAAATTTGAATGCTTTAAATGGGGTAAGCTAATTTCCGCAATTTTTTTTGCGCAACAGGGTCATTTGCGCAACGCAACTTAAAATGGAAAGGGAACTTTTTAATATGAACTGCAAAAAGGAAAAGATTCAGCTGACAAACTGAATACTTTTTTTGCTTTCAGAGATCTCAAGAGAAAAGCTATTCAGTTTTATTGATTCTTTGTCGGGGATCGCTAGTTTGCGCCAGATCTTTTGCGCAACTCACCATAACTTTCTTCTAAGTGGACGAATCTTTATGATTTTAATGTCATTTTGTAGATCGCAATAAGTGCAACACAATGACATCAAAATCATAAATATTGGTTGACTTAGAAGAAAGTTATCGCGAGTTGCGCAAAAGGATCCAGTTACGGAAAAAATTTGGCGCAAAGTAGCCACCCCCGAATCCATAACGCCATAACTTTCTTCTAAATGGACCAATCTTTATGATTTTGGTTTCATTTTGTTGCACTTATTGAGATCTATTATTGAGACTTATTGAGACTTATTGAGATCTTTGCTGAAAAACAAATCTTAAAATAACAAAGCTCCCAATTTTTGGTTTCAAAATGTGGTTCTTTTCAAGAAAATCTCTTTATTTTTTTCAAAATTATGAGTTTATCCGTTCTCATGGTAATTTCGAGTTCAAAATCCGATTTTTCGAAAGAAAAATAAGCAATAATTGAGGGATTTTTCTAGAAAAATGTTTGAGATTTCAAAGGTTTCAATTTGGGTGAAATCAGGCGCAAAAAATTGCTTCCGGGAATGGAAAAATGGGGTAGAAAAGGAGCATTCCCTTGGGGAAAGGAAATAAAAATAGGAAAAATACGTTCTTTTTATACTATTTTCAACTCTGATTTCAGTGAAATGTGGAAATGAAAGAAATTTGACTGAAAGATGAAAGAAATGCGCGCTCAATCGTTAGGAAGTAAAAGAAAAATGGTCGCTTATCTTGAAAACAAACGTTTATCTTCAAAACAAACGCTTTTCCAAGGGTTCGCTTGGTACAAATGATCGATTCGCTTGGTGCAAATGATCGATTTACTTTTAGATTCTTTAGATTTTAGATTTTATAATCTACTATATATAAAAGGAAAGTGTCTGTCCATCCGTCAGCCTGTCCATCCGTCTGTCCATTCGTCTGTCCATCTGTCTGTCCATCTGTCTGTCCATCTGTCTGTCCGTCCGTCTGTCCATTCGTCAGTCTGTACTCGGCTCACCGTGGACCGATTTACATGATTTTTAGCTTATTAGCTATTTTAGCTTATTTTAACTTATTGCAATTGGCAATGCAATTGGCAAAAAAGCTACCGTAAATACTGTAATAGTACCCCACCTCCCTCGTACAGTTGCGTAGTCGCAAAAGTTTTAGTCGTTTTTTAGTATTTCATTTTTTTTCAAAGCGCCCGTACTTTCAAAAGATACGTTTTTGGTATCAAAAAATAGCCCTGAATTTCAGCTATTTTTTGATACCTAAGCGCGCATTGTAGCATAAACAAGTGTCGAGAAAAACTCGTTCAAAGCTAGACTACACAACACTCCGCATCGTCATTATGGGGGTGGGGCACTATTACAGTATTTACGGTAGGTAAACTATTAAACAATTCTTTAACTTAGTATTGCTCAAGTTGAAATTTGACTCTTAAAAAATAATTGGTATCAGTTTTTAAAGTCTAAATAATATTGTTAATAAAAAGCACTAAATAAAAAGCACTTAAGTCTAAATAATATTGTTTAAACCACGGAAAAGGTTGCAAAAAGTTAATTAAATGAGAAAATGAGAAGAACAGGATTAAAATAAAAGAAATTCCAAGCTTTTCAAAGCAATTTGACGCAGAGCTTTTCAAAGCTTTTCAAAGCAATCCTAATCAGCGATCCTAAAATGACGGCGAGCCAGATTTTTGGGATTAAAATACCCTCCGGATCTTCGTAAAACCCTTCCAAATATAGCTCAAAATTCCAAAAATAAATTCCTTGGCTATGGGAAATTTTATCTGACCGGGAAAATTTCTGACTCAAGCAGTCTGAGAGTTTTTTTTTTTATGGAGATCCCACTTTTCTTAAGAAATCCGATCTTTCAGTGAAAGATTTTAGGGATAAAATTGAAAGTTCAGAATTTTAAATAATCTGGTTTTTATCAAAGTTTTTTGAGATTTTAAAATCGAAAACTTGTGGGAATTTTTGAGTTTTTGGGGTTTTCGAAAAAAAAAGAAAGTTTCAAAATGAGGGGAGACAAAATGGGAAATCAGCTCTTGCTCAGATCAGCTCTTGCTCAGATCTGCTCTTGCTCAGATCTGCTCTTGCTCAGATCAACTCTTGCTCAGATCAACTCTTGCTCAGATCAGCTCTTGCTCAGATCTGCTCTTGCTCAGATCTGCTCTTGCTCAGATCAGCTCTTGCTCAGATCAGCTTGCTCAGATCAGCTCTTGCTCAGATCAGCTTGCCCAGATCAGCTCTTGCTCAGATCTGCTTGCTCAGATCAGCTCTTGCTCAGATCAGCTTGCTCAGATCAACTCTTGCTCAGATCAGCTCTTGCTCAGATCTGCTCTTGCTCAGCTCAGCTCAATCAAATCAAAAATTGTCGCAAACAACTCCAACATGCTTGATAAGTTGCCTAAAGTCCATTTTTAAAAGATGAGTTTCAATTTATTTCATTTCATATCTTTCATATCTTTTTAGTTGAAAATTTCTGATCTAAAATAGCAAATTTATCATTGAATTCATTCTAAAACCAATCAAAGAAAAGAAAGCTTTCAATTTTTGAGTTTCAAAATTGATTCTTTAACCAACAGAGTAGTAATGATAAACTACAAGACAACGAGACAATGATACCATCGTGCAGGGCTTTAACAATGATACCATGTGTCCAGGGCGTTAACAATGATTTAACAAGGTGTGGAATTTGTGATCAAAACACAGTTACAGCCAAAATTAGTTCCTATCCAGAGTGAGATCTTGATCTAAAACTTGATCTAAATGCAAATTTACTCGAGTAATTACTTACTCGCGAGGAACGCACTCTATTGCTAATCCAGCTAATTCTAATGCTATTTCAGCTTCAAATTGAAATTTCCCCAAGAAAAAGATGACGTCACAAGCTGGTGACCTTGAGAAAAAGCTCTTCTTTAAGCTGAGACTCAGATGTTTTATTTTTTGGGCGAAAAAATGACGATTTCATGTTTCAAAATAAGCTTCATAACCCAAATGAATAAATATTAATTCGATTAGCTTTAAACTTGCAGAACTGATACAGCAATTGGAATATCATATGACTTAAGGAAGACATTTTTTCTATTCTGCTTTGATATTTATCAATCTATTAGCTGAATACTCTTCATTTCAATGGACAGACTCTGGGTTGACAAAGTAATCAAACTGTTTTCTCATTTCTTACCAACATAAACCACAAGTAGATCGTCTTGAACTCGGCATTTC